AAATAGATTTTTTGAAAAGGAATAGCTTATCATTTGTTGAAATAGGTCCTGGTTAAGCTTAGCTTGACAAATTATATTATTTGTATTTAAAGTTTAATAAAGATATTTAAAATAATTTTTTGTTATTAAAATTTAACTAGCAGTAAAATGCTACCTAATGTGAGATTTTTTAATCCACTTTTTATTTAATTTGAAAAAAATTATTCATTCACTATGGTGTGTGATCAAAAAAAATAGAGCGTCAACTCTATCATGTATATCGAGTCGGGTATGGTTTTGCTGCTATTATCTAATATATATCGATGTCTAACTTTTGTGAGTCGAGTGTAAGACAGAATGTGTATATATTACAAAAGGATCAGACAGCGTGTACCAGAAATTCTATGCAATAAAGCATTTAAAACTGTGAAGAAACCCTTTGGAGATAATATTACATCGCTTATATAGTGTACATACATAGAAATGCTTTCAGAAACGTTAAAAAAATTTACACCTGCTATTATCTTCATTATCAGTGATGAACTCATAGAAACAAATTAAATGGATTCATGGATCGCCTTTAAAGGGGATGCAATAAACATTGAACATCAAATAAATAGTTTTAGAAAAAAATTAAAAATTCTCGTTGCTTTTTGATCGCATTTCTTATAATAATATTAAAACTAATGAGATTCAAATATAAGATGCATTAATGTAGCTCTTCAGAATGTATGTAGATTGCATTAAATATGTTTCTAGCCAATAAAATCTTGAAATATTAATGGATGGTGTTATTAATTGCAATAGAAAAAGACACGAACCATATTGTCTAAAACCGTCTTTTTTGAAAAAAAATACCAGACTCTCAAGAAAAAACTTGCTTTTCCTAAAATATATGATTTTGTGAATTTGTTGTACATAAATTCTTGAAAGGCTTTATCCCTGGCTTTAGTAAATGATAGAAAACTAAATTTTCAAATTTAAACTAATTTCTTCACGTCGTAAAATCAAAAAATTTAATTTTTTGTAAATGATATAAATAAATAACATTTTTAAATAAACGTTGTTCAAAAAAAAAATATTTTTAAACAGTTTTGATTTCAATTCATTAAAAAATTTTAATAAAAAATTGTGATTTTAAATGATATTAATTTTAGAAGCATTTCTAAAATTTTCATTTATTCTGTACTTCACGGGTTACGTTGCCCACAATTAATTCCAGTTAAATAAAATTTTAAAAAATAATATTTTATTTCTGATCATTTAATTTTTTTAAAAAATTAAAATGTTTAAAAATCATTCTCTTATAAGAGAATGACTTATGTTATATACAACCAATGCATATTTAAATATGTACATATCTTTAACAAAAAAATTATGATTATGTATTGTTATTATTTTAAGGACAAGAATACATAAGAAATACAAAATGATCAACTATTTAATTAAAAATTTTGTGTAATAATAAAAGCAAAATAAATATTTTTTTTTTCTTTTTTGGCACTTACCTTTAAATATTGCTACACTTTTAACCCATGGCGCAGAAGTTTATAAACAAATTTTTATAACAGAAAAAAAAATGATACAAAAAATACACTCTTACTCGACTTTATCCACTGCCGTTAAATAATCCGTTTTTTTTAACTTTTTAAATAAAATTTCTGACTATTAAATCACATTGGATTTATTAATCAACAATATATTTTGCGTTAAATTAATTTATAAAAACTTATTGTTATTAATACAATTATTAAATCAATCACTTATAAACTTTTATCACTTTTTCATTATTAACAAATATGTTGCCGTTTATCGACACATCTGCCGATCACTTCATGAAGATCAATAATGCTGTCAATGTTTTTATCATTCAATTGTTTTTGCTTAAAAAGCACTAAACAAGAAATGACATGAAATTAAATGAAAATGAAACACCTTTATTTAAAATAAAAACATAGAGAAACTGTAAAGTTTGCTTACCAAATAATAAAACACGAGTTATATGGAACATTATTAGTTTTGTTTTTGTTTGGATCAATTAAGCAAGCAAAAAAAACTGCATTCGTTTCTTACCACTGCCTCAATGCCCCTCGCACGAACAAGTAAATATGTTTAATTTTATAGATTTATTTAAAATCTTTATATGAATGTTTGTTTACAGCATTGATAACAGTCCGCTTGAACACGGTTTAATTGATGTTTGTCACCTTACAGTCAAGTTGTAAAAATCTTCATAAGATTTTATTTCACCACAATGTAAAAAGTATAAAAATCAAAAACAGAGAAAGAAAAATAAGAAATATACAAAGCATTAACTTATGTTACATATGTATATGTATGTTAAATATATTTTTTGTTGTAGTCATTGTTGTAATGACTGCTAAACTCAAGTCAGGGGTGTAAAATTCTATCAGGAAAGTTAGAGTTTTGTTGTTGCATCACTGTTTCTTCAATATAACAGCATTGCGTACGATGTTAATTAAAACTCGTTTTTTTTATTTACATTATTTCCAATGTGTTATTATTAAAAATAGCATAGAAATATTGCATTTTTTAGTTAGTGTGACAATTAGTTTTCTTCTCTCAGTCTTATTTTTTATGTTTATAGAATTTTGTATGCTTATAGAATTAATTTTGTTTTTCGATTTTATTATTGATTTTCTACGTATATTGTTTTTGTAATACGAACGCATCTACTAAAGCTGTCATCTGCTCAGGAATAATGCGATTATAAGTACTCCTTTTTTGGTTTTTTTAATTGGGTGAAAAATATCGAAAACTACCGTGTGAGACGTTAACCCACCAAAACCATATTTAGAAATCAGTTAGAATCTCAGCCATCTGACTGTATAACTCTTCGGACTAAAATTATATTTCAGTAATCATGGAATGAAAGATTAGAAGTATTTGCTTGAGCAAATTTATCTAAAGCAAGGGTAAGAACGTAATTTATGTTTTTTAAAAGCGATGGTACTTATTTAAATAAGAATGAAGACTATTAAATATCTGCGATTAAATATCTGAATAGAGTAAATAAAATAATAAATCTCGTCAAAAAAATCAGTGACTGAGGAGGCCTGTAAGAGGGAATTTGGACAAGAAAGTTCATAAATATGAACGATAATGTGTCATAAGTAAGAGCAGATTGTGTCGGTGAATTAGATATCTGCGAGCTGAGGACAAAAAGTACTTGTCAAGTTTTACCACCTTAATAGTAAATGACAGAACGACGATTTTCTTTTGTGGTAGATGAAAAGCATCCACAACCTCAATATGAGAGTCTTTATCCCAATAAAACTGTATTCGCATCTTCATCTCTTAAAAATGAATGAAAAATTTTATTCCATTCCACCGTTCGATTTTGTCCTCCATTTTGTTCAACCATTGACCCAGAGAGCAATTCAGTGATTAAAGGCCAGAGTTGAAATAAAGAGGCTTAGTACTTAGTACTTAGAAGTTTATCTAAACTAGATAAAATGGGAGAGAAGAGAGAGAAGTAAGAGAAGAGAGATAGATAAAACGGTAGGTAATATTGCGCCAGAATAGAGGTAGATTAATTGTTAATTTTAGTGATCTGGTGATATTTAAACTTTATATGTCTATTTATATTAATAATAATAAAAATTAATTCACATTTTAAAAAGTATATTAAAAAAACAAGCAGTTAGAAATGCTAATGTTTAGGTATAAAAATTTAATAAAAATCATATATAAAAAAAAAAAATATATATATATTTTTTTTTCAAACTATTGTTAAATAATATAAAAGTTTTCCAATAATGTAAATTAATGAACACATTTATATGATACTGATAATTTCATTTGTAATTTCAATAACAATTATTGTAATATTTTTACTTCATTATATTATTAGCAAATACTTTGCATAGCAATAAATTCAATGTCATATGGATTTAATTGACTTAAGAAAAATATTAAAAAATTTTAAAAAAAACTCCAAATAGAGTTTACATGAAACAGTACATAGTGAAGACAAAACTAATAATACATCAAATCTGGTTAGATATAGAAGAAAATACAGATATCAAAGATATCAAGAATTTAAGGTTGGAATTTGATAGTTTAGTAGAGCAGATAGAAAAATATTTGCAACCTAAGTCAATAACAGAACAATTAAACAAGCCCATAGACAATATTGAAGTAAAAATGGCTAATTTTGATTTAATTTCAGCTTCAAAAATAATACCAGAATTCACTGCTAATGCTAAAAGTTTATCAAACTTTATAGGCATTTTACAATTTTATTCTGAATCACTTAAAGATAAAATCGAGAGATCCATCTTACTTCGGTTTGTTAAGTCAACTAAATTATCTAATAGAGTTAAAAACAAATTCATTTCAGAAGAAGAAGACGACACAATATCAAAATTTATTCAAAAGCTGAAAAATATCTATAAACCTAATCAAAATCTATTAATCTATTAATCTAGTCCAGAATAATTTAGCACGTTTGCGACAAGGTACCCAAACTGTTGCACATTTTGTTTCTAAAATTGAGGAACAAATAGCAATTTTAAACCAAATATATATAGCTACTCAGGGTGACCAAAATAAACAAGTAATAATGAAAATGACAGATCTCACAGGATTAAATGCATTCAACAATGGACTCAACGATTGACTTAGGAATATAGTAGCAGCAGCAAGGCCAACTACTCTAAACGAAGCTGTACAAATTGCTCTAAGTGTAGAAACACAAAATAGAAGCATGATACAACAGCAACCAAACAGGAATTTTCAACAAAGGAACGGATTCTCGAATAATTACAGAAATGCGAATGGAAATTTCAACAACAATTCCAATAATCAAAAAAACTGGAACACCCCCGGTTCACGAATCCCGGGGCACAACCTAAAGCAGTATCCAAATCACAACCTAGGTCACAACCAAAACAATGGTTACAACAATCGAAACAATTACAACCAGAACAAAAACAAATAATACATTTTAAAACAATAGAAAACATTGATAATAGTATTAATGTTAAAACTTCTTGTAGCAATAAGTATATAACTTTATTAGTAGACACAGAGGCAGAGATATCAGTAATAAAAGATGGTATAATAGGGAAGAGCAATTTTGATAACACAAAAAACTGCCAAATAAATGGCATAACAGGAAAAACAACCACAGAAGGTTTAATAGATATAAATTTATTTTTTGATGGTAAAACAATACCTCACAAATTCAATGTCACAAAAGATAATATAAATTTACCTATAGATGGTATATTAGGTAAAGATTTTTTGATAAAATATAATTATGAAATAAATTATGAAACATGCGTATTAGTGATCTCAAACTCAGAAGATGAGATTGTCTTACCCTTGAATATAAAAATAAAAACCATTAAAAATATCAAAATACTGCCCAGGGTAGAAGTAATTCAAGTAGTTGAACTAAATACAAAAGAAGACAGTTTAGTCTGTGGAAAAGAAATAGTGAAAGGAGTATTCATAGCTAATTCTTTAATATCTGCCAAAGGTATACTAGAGACACACCTGTAGAATTAAAATGTGCAACAATAGAAATAAAACCATTAAACAATTATAACATACTTTTATATAATTCTAATCGAAATTCATATACATTTGAAAAAATTAAATCGAAATTAAAGATTGATGGTTTAGATAACATAGCCAAAAATTCAATATTGAATATTTGTAAAGATTTCCAAAACATTTTTCATATAGAAGGAGAGAAATTAACTATAAACAATTTTTATGAACAGCACATCATTCATTGAATCAACAATAGATAAAACACCTATATATATAAAGAATTATAGGATACTGAACATTCAAAACGAAGAACTAGAAAATCAAGTAAAAAAGTTATTAAATGATGATATAATAGAACCATCAGTAAGTCCTTACAACTCACCAATTTTAATAGTACCAAAAAAGGAACAAGAAAAATAGAGATTAGTTGTAGATTTCAGACAGTTAAATAAAAAAGTAGTAGACGATAAATTTCCACTAACACGTTTGGAAGATGTTCTAGATAAGTTAGGTAAGGCGAAATATTTCTCTACATTAGATATGACTAGTTCATTTCATCAAATCCCACTTAACCACAAATCAAAACCTTTAACAGCTTTTTCAACAGAAACAGGTCATTTTTAATTCAAGAGATTACCTTTTGGATTAAAAATTTCAACAAATAGTTTTCAAAGAATGCTAACATTAGCATTAGCAGGTTTAGACTCCTCAGCATTTTTATATGACAATTTTATATGGCATTTTTACTTTTATTAATAACAATTTAATAAAAGTATTTGGTAGATTACAACAATACAATCTTAACATTAGTTCACTACGCACGGATGATTGTAGCTATCCAGAGGGGCCACGTGGAGGCTGTGTGTCAACTTGGAGAGAACAGTGACAAGGATCGCGCTGGCATTTACCATGTTAAATGCAATCAGACACTTTGCCTTGTATGTTCAATTCCATTACGCTGCATTACGGTAACATATTTTTTGGTGGAAAATTCACGTGCTATGATGATTTTGTTAACAAAGCATTTTTGTCAATAAGACATTTTTGTGCAATAAAACCAATCTACCTTGATATTGTAGTCAAACCCCTATATTCTGTTTTTAATCTTCCAGATATTTTAGTTTAGAATATTCTCGAAGTGAGGCATCCCGAGACGATTAAAGTCTAGTATGTACTACCCCATGTTGTTTCGAGTATAAATAAGAGCGCTTGTGTTTCACCTGCAGCACCTGACCACAGGTGTGAATTTGGTATCTCGGGGGTCAAGGTTTATAACTTTGGCTATTGACCATTTAATGCGAGTCCCGTGGTGGCTGAGGTTAAGACCCAAAATTAAGGGGGAAAACTGTAACTGTATTCATTACTCTTATTCGATGTGAAATAAAGCAAAAGTAATAGAATAAAATAATAATAGTAATAGAATATACCCCAAAGAATAATGTGAGAAAAGTCTCGATAGCTCCCGAAGAGAAAACTATATCTAAATGGATAGCTTCAATTGGTATCATCGTATAAAACTATTACGTGTAGTGAGAGCAGTGTTTACATCTTAAAGGGTTAAGGAATTAAATGTGATTAGGAAATCACATAAAAAAACTATGAACTCTGTAAACTGTCAAATAATATTCTGTGTACAGTGTCTGGCCTTCTAGAACGATTTCAGCATTGTCTTTATTTGCTCCTCTACTGTTTTCTCAAATTCACCTCTTCTGATGATATCCATATAGTTGTCTAACGTTTTGTTTTCGGAAGTTATAGGAAAAATTTCGCTTCATCACCAATGACTATTTCGACAAGTCTTTGCAGTGCTAAACTATACAGTCATTGTGGATCTCCGTCCAAGAGTATAGTGTCCAGTGCACGGAAACATACCTTTTGTCTAAATACTTGGTCAAAATTCAATATTCAGAAATGAATTCTGTTCATGAAGTCTCCTGAAAAAAGGTGTTTTCAAACAATTACTTTAAGTTTTAGTTTCTAATGCGATTGTCTATTGGTGATACTGTTTAGTCGACGTATTCAAGGTCCCCATAACCGTTCCGGAATCAGCTAAATCATTGGAAGATCAATAACTAAATACATTGACTAAACTAAATACATATTCATTCTCGAATATATTTATTATTCCATACTTTTTGCGCCACTTTCACTCAATTTAAAGCAGAGTTATCTATGTCCTATATTGTTTTTTGTTTGATCGATCTGCACAAAGTGACACTACACAAAATTTCCACTTACATCACAATTTCAAGTAGATCTGCTTAAATTTTGATACTAAGTAGAAGTATTCACAATTCATCTATCATCATTCCCTCATAGATGGCGCCGAGCTAAGCTTTTTTTTTTGTGACCAGTCTCATTGGACGAACTGCTTGGTACTAATGCATTTGTATTTAGAATTTACAAAAATATGAGAATCTTTGAAATAGATTTTTTGAAAAGGAATAGCTTATCATTTGTTGAAATAGGTCCTGGTTAAGCTTAGCTTGACAAATTATATTATTTGTATTTAAAGTTTAATAAAGATATTTAAAATAATTTTTTGTTATTAAAATTTAACTAGCAGTAAAATGCTACCTAATGTGAGATTTTTTAATCCACTTTTTATTTAATTTGAAAAAAATTATTCATTCACTATGGTGTGTGATCAAAAAAAATAGAGCGTCAACTCTATCATGTATATCGAGTCGGGTATGGTTTTGCTGCTATTATCTAATATATATCGATGTCTAACTTTTGTGAGTCGAGTGTAAGACAGAATGTGTATATATTACAAAAGGATCAGACAGCGTGTACCAGAAATTCTATGCAATAAAGCATTTAAAACTGTGAAGAAACCCTTTGGAGATAATATTACATCGCTTATATAGTGTACATACATAGAAATGCTTTCAGAAACGTTAAAAAAATTTACACCTGCTATTATCTTCATTATCAGTGATGAACTCATAGAAACAAATTAAATGGATTCATGGATCGCCTTTAAAGGGGATGCAATAAACATTGAACATCAAATAAATAGTTTTAGAAAAAAATTAAAAATTCTCGTTGCTTTTTGATCGCATTTCTTATAATAATATTAAAACTAATGAGATTCAAATATAAGATGCATTAATGTAGCTCTTCAGAATGTATGTAGATTGCATTAAATATGTTTCTAGCCAATAAAATCTTGAAATATTAATGGATGGTGTTATTAATTGCAATAGAAAAAGACACGAACCATATTGTCTAAAACCGTCTTTTTTGAAAAAAAATACCAGACTCTCAAGAAAAAACTTGCTTTTCCTAAAATATATGATTTTGTGAATTTGTTGTACATAAATTCTTGAAAGGCTTTATCCCTGGCTTTAGTAAATGATAGAAAACTAAATTTTCAAATTTAAACTAATTTCTTCACGTCGTAAAATCAAAAAATTTAATTTTTTGTAAATGATATAAATAAATAACATTTTTAAATAAACGTTGTTCAAAAAAAAAATATTTTTAAACAGTTTTGATTTCAATTCATTAAAAAATTTTAATAAAAAATTGTGATTTTAAATGATATTAATTTTAGAAGCATTTCTAAAATTTTCATTTATTCTGTACTTCACGGGTTACGTTGCCCACAATTAATTCCAGTTAAATAAAATTTTAAAAAATAATATTTTATTTCTGATCATTTAATTTTTTTAAAAAATTAAAATGTTTAAAAATCATTCTCTTATAAGAGAATGACTTATGTTATATACAACCAATGCATATTTAAATATGTACATATCTTTAACAAAAAAATTATGATTATGTATTGTTATTATTTTAAGGACAAGAATACATAAGAAATACAAAATGATCAACTATTTAATTAAAAATTTTGTGTAATAATAAAAGCAAAATAAATATTTTTTTTTCTTTTTTGGCACTTACCTTTAAATATTGCTACACTTTTAACCCATGGCGCAGAAGTTTATAAACAAATTTTTATAACAGAAAAAAAAATGATACAAAAAATACACTCTTACTCGACTTTATCCACTGCCGTTAAATAATCCGTTTTTTTTAACTTTTTAAATAAAATTTCTGACTATTAAATCACATTGGATTTATTAATCAACAATATATTTTGCGTTAAATTAATTTATAAAAACTTATTGTTATTAATACAATTATTAAATCAATCACTTATAAACTTTTATCACTTTTTCATTATTAACAAATATGTTGCCGTTTATCGACACATCTGCCGATCACTTCATGAAGATCAATAATGCTGTCAATGTTTTTATCATTCAATTGTTTTTGCTTAAAAAGCACTAAACAAGAAATGACATGAAATTAAATGAAAATGAAACACCTTTATTTAAAATAAAAACATAGAGAAACTGTAAAGTTTGCTTACCAAATAATAAAACACGAGTTATATGGAACATTATTAGTTTTGTTTTTGTTTGGATCAATTAAGCAAGCAAAAAAAACTGCATTCGTTTCTTACCACTGCCTCAATGCCCCTCGCACGAACAAGTAAATATGTTTAATTTTATAGATTTATTTAAAATCTTTATATGAATGTTTGTTTACAGCATTGATAACAGTCCGCTTGAACACGGTTTAATTGATGTTTGTCACCTTACAGTCAAGTTGTAAAAATCTTCATAAGATTTTATTTCACCACAATGTAAAAAGTATAAAAATCAAAAACAGAGAAAGAAAAATAAGAAATATACAAAGCATTAACTTATGTTACATATGTATATGTATGTTAAATATATTTTTTGTTGTAGTCATTGTTGTAATGACTGCTAAACTCAAGTCAGGGGTGTAAAATTCTATCAGGAAAGTTAGAGTTTTGTTGTTGCATCACTGTTTCTTCAATATAACAGCATTGCGTACGATGTTAATTAAAACTCGTTTTTTTTATTTACATTATTTCCAATGTGTTATTATTAAAAATAGCATAGAAATATTGCATTTTTTAGTTAGTGTGACAATTAGTTTTCTTCTCTCAGTCTTATTTTTTATGTTTA